TTGCTTCCATTGCTGCAGCCACCCCCACAGGGCATTTGCCACCATCCATGAGTCAGTATAGAGATAAAGTGCTGGCCATTTTTCTCGTTCAGCAATGTCCAAGGCCAGCTGGATGGCTTTCACCTCTGCAAACTGACTTCTAGAATTCCTGGATGACTGGGATTTTCTATTTGAGCTCATTGTGTAACTAGTGCAGCCCACTTCCTCCATGTAGCATTGGTTGCATGATATGTAGAGGAGACCCTGCCTTTGAACATCCAGCCCAGCACAGGCAACTGGGGTGCCAGAAGAAGCTGTGCTTCAGTGCCAATTACTTCTGACGCAGCTGAACCCAGGACAGCACCTCACACTGCAGGTAATGCAGGTACAGCACCATCTCTGCAGCCACGTAGAGCTGGGGGCTGCCTCTTCACCCACCAAGAGCTCAACATGGAAAGTGTACATGGACCACCACCAGTGCCATTACTCTGTCATATACTGTCCTTGGTCAGGATTTGAACATATGTGGAAGCTGCCATGGTTAAAGATGAGCAAGCTGCATTGGAAGAACATCTATGGTTTTCACAATCAAAGGGATCCTTCATTCAGCAAGCAAATAGCAATGCCTGCAACATCTGCTACTTTACCTGCCTTTTCTAATGTTATTAAAGGTTTGTTTCAACCATGAAGAGAGCAGCCTGGGATCCTACTGCCTTTCGAATCAAAAATTCCCTCACCTGCTTAGGAAAAAGCCACTTTGAAGCCACTGTGAAGAAGCAGAGACCTTATAAATGTACACCCATTGCCTGGGTCTGCTTCAGATCTGTGTGTCTGACCTCTGCCCAGCCTCTGTGTTCCTTTTTTCCCTACCACATAGAAACATTAAGTGTAATTATTACCCCAAACACTGTAGTGTAAGAATCACAGGATTAAAATTCCTGCTATTCTCCTGTTATGGAAGAAAACCACACCATTTATTCCCTTTCCTAGACTGGTTACCTCCTGTCTTTAATTAATATGGGACTTCTCATCACTACAACTTTTAAAGCTTAAAACCAGAAGCCATGTAATTGCTCTTTAGGACTGCTGTATCTGTGTAGGACTGCCACCAGTGTTTGCCTTCCTTTTGGCTCCTCCATCCTTCCAACCATCCCAGAAGCAAGCTGCTGGACCATTTCCAGCTTGAATACATTTCTCCTGGTTATTGGCAGCTGGAAATCTGGAGGCATTTTTGCAGTATCATGAATCCATTCCCTTCCCTGCAATAAATTCCTTGCTAATACACCTCAAGGTCCCGTTTCTCTTTGTTAATCTGTGTTTACACAGTAACTTAGTCTTTATAGCAGTAACAGCTAATGGCTTCCCCGCTTGAATATATTTATTTGCTGTGAAAACCAAGATTTACCATCAATTTGTGCTTTACAGGCTCTTAAGTTTCCTTCCAGGTCTCTTGCTGGAGTGTTCAAATGATACACCTTTTCCTGGATGATATTTCTGTCCTTACAATGACTAAACTTCTTGGCTTATCCACACTAACAGCTTTTGTAGTATTTCATCCAAACATCATTTGTATCCATTCCATCACTTGTCAGGGAAAACCAGTGTGCTTGCAGAGTCCTTTGCATGTTACCGCTTACAACCAGTGATACAAGTAGTGTGTTTACTCTGAGAAAGAATGTATTTGCCTTTGTGCATTAACTGTTGCATCAAACCCAGAGGGTTTTTTTTCAGTCGTATTGGTATGTGATTTCTTAAAACATTCTTGGTAAAGGAGCAATTGTCTACTTGGAGAGCTGAAGCCTACAGGCAGCTTGAGTCATCTTCTACCTGCAGACAGGACAGCATGGTACAAGCTTTTTAGTTAAGCAAAGAACATTACCACCCATTTTCCCTACCATCTGGACTAAGAAATAGCTCTGGTTCACACCAGGAGGGATTCATGCCCCTCTCTCCACAGATGCCACTCAAGTTCACCCTAGGAAGCGTATTTGCAGTTGCTGCTCCTTCAGCAGCCCTCTTCATGCTCAAGAGGAACTGTGTGGGGTTTTTTGAGACACAACAGCAGAAAGACTTATTAGCAGACAAAAACATGGCTCTTCCAAATGCAGAAGGTCAACATTTACCATGTAGTAAAAAGAAAACTTTCTCTTGCTGTTTGAGAAGCAATACTGAATTAGGTGGCCTGGCTTATTTCTACTCTGTGTGGGGTTAATCTCTGTAGGAGATAAACCCTGTGCACTGAGGTTCACACTGGGAAGTCAGACGCTATCAATAAATGAAGGGACAGGAAGGTGTTTAGAATAACAATAGCTACTCCGCAGAGATTTTCATGAGCACAAAAAATGCAGTTGCTCTCACGTGGCATTTTGTGCACAAACCTACAGCCTTGGTGGGACCACATACTCCACGTGCTGCTGGCAACCCAAGATGTGCAGTGCACACCTGAACTCCTTTGAGATAATACTTTTATCACCAACACCCCATCCCCTCCAAACCTTTCCACCCCTTATGGGTGTTTCTGTATCCTTTTAAATTGCAAAGGGTGTGTTAGTAAAAACAAAGTGTTTAATACTTATGCAACAAGAGAAGACTATTACAGGAATACCACTCTGATATTTGTCTTGCTTGTAGTTGTAAAACACAATTTAAACCTGACTCTTCTACAAATACAGGGTAACTTTGAAAAATAAATAAGAAAGAATTCTGTTGTAACTTGACAGGCAAGAAAGCAGAGATGAGAAACACCCAGAAAAACTCTATTTAAGTCTCTAGTTTTGTCTTCTATTGCTCTACTCCAGTCCCAACACACTTCCACATACTGGAGTTTGGAGATGCTCCACGTGAACGAGTCACAGTGCTCATTGTGGTGCATTTTGCAGGGGGTTAGTGTTGGAATATTTGGGGTTTAGATCAGTATCAGAAGAAGTTTCCAGTGATAAATAAAGTTCCATTTTCTGTCTAAATAAACAAGCATGGGTAACAGGTTTTCTTTTTTTGATTTTTTTTTTTTTTTTAATAAGGAATGTTGTCAGTCCTATTTTATTATGAGTAATAGAAGGAGGTGAAAAAAAATCAATATAAGCACTGTATCTAACCTATTTAAAACTACAATCACAATGTTATCTGAATGCCTCACAACATTGTTTAAAATCCAACAAGTAGACAAGAAAACAACAAATCTATGCAGGGTTTTTTATACATATGGTGAGAAAGTTTGCAAAGTGTTAAAATATATTTTCTGTTCTGTATGTTTCTGGTACAAGGAAGTGATGTGTGGAATACTGTATACTTATGAACAGAGCCTTGACTTATACAAGCAATAATCATCTTCAAAACATACAATGTATATCTTAAAATATCCCCTAGAGCTGCTCATATAAAGTCAAATGCAGCACCTACTAAAGTTCAGCCAGCTGACTCACTTTGACTCCAGTGGGCACTTGATTAAGCCCTTGATAATTGTGAAGTACCTGACAGTCTAATTGTATTCATATGAAAAAAATCACATTGCATAGATTTAAACAGGAAGACATGCAATAACAAGACAAGTCACAGTATAGCAAAACCTTGTTTCTTTGGTGAAACAGAAGCAGATATAAAAGTTACAAAGATTTTAGACTTTCACTCACAAAAAACCCCAGACATTCACATTATACACTATACAAGATAATAATATAAATAGAGAAAAGTATTATGTGCATTGTTTGGGGGTGAGGGGTGGGGAATGAACCAGCCAACACAGTGAGCACTGCCACTTTGAGTACACAAGGGTTGGGTACGCTTGATGGGGCGGTCACTGCAATTCCTTAAGACATGCTGTCTGGAACTGTAGTTATTGTTCCCAATGAGCTGTAGCAAGGTCAGTCCATGGGCAGTTGTGCCTGGTACAAACACGTTGGCTGGGTTTCAAATCTTTTCCTTTCCCTTCCAACTTCTATGCATCATAACCCCCCACTAACACAAAGGTGTAAACCTCCTGCCTGTGTTTTGTATTTGCAATGTTATTTTAACAGGTATATCATAGGAAACTTACTGTTTTTTTATTTTCACTTATTTTTTCTTTTTTTCTTTTTTCTTTTTTTTTCTTTTTTTCTTTTTTTCTTTTTTCCTGTGCCCAAAGGTGTGCAAGGCACTTTGCAGAAATAACAGTTCTTTCTGTGGAGAGGTCGTTTCAAACGTTACCTTCTACACTTACTGTACACAACCAGGTCAGTCATCAAGCTGACCAGAGTGAGAAACCATAGTAGAAAACTCCTACGTACAGACTGCACCAACTACAACCTATAATCTCTTTGTGCACACACATCTTTCTAGAAAGCCAAGATTCTGATTCTTCCGTAGGTCACACAAGTGTTCACCCATCCAACTGCAAACAAATGATCCTGTTTAGCAGGAATTTTGTTCTCCAGAGAAATAGCAGTTGAACTGAAAGATGGTACCAAAACTAGAGCTCACAGGCCAATACTGCACTGGTAAGCTCTTTGAATCTTCTTTGCATGGGTAAAAAAACATCCAATGAATTAAATCAGTATGGCTTACTTCATTTATTTATGTACGCTTCACAGCTGCAGCATTCATACACAAACATTCATTACTTTATAAAAGATTAAAAAATGGTTATATATACAAAATTATTTACTTTTTTGATTTTTGTTTGTTTTTACAAAAAAAAAAAAAATCCCCCAAACACCAGGTCTATCTCCATTTTAGAATGCAGAGACCTGCAATACAGACCTTGTGGTTAATGTCGTGAAAGTAATTTCTAACTTTTTTTTCCCCATTTTTAATTTCTTTTCAAAAAAAGTGGCCCCATTTGACAAAGTTAATGTATTAGCACTTGGGTTTTTTACAGGCCCTCTTTGTCATACACAACTCCTCCATGCAGTCCTTCCTCATGAATGGTGGAGCTGGAATGGAGAGCAGAAAAAAAAAGTTCCACATTGCAGTCCCTAGTTCATGCTTCATGCCACTTCTATGTGCTCTATCTAAACTTTGCATCACACGGACACAAACTGTACCTTGGATGAGAATTGGCACAGTTCCCATTTTTAAAAAAGATAAATTCATGTCACTTTTGTGTTTATCTTCACCTGATAATAGCAAATTTCAGTCAGTGAAGTTATTTCAACCATTTCCAGCCTAGGTAAACAACATAAAAACAATGTCATAAATGACTGAAGACCTCTGAGGCCATTCTAACCATAAATATGCCTGAAATTAGTGTGATTTTTCATTTTATATACAAGATTTTAAAAACAACACACAATTAAACACTTTAAAATCATCTTATTTACATTTTCATTGGTGCTAAAATCGAGCTGTTTAAATATTGCAGAAGGCTGGTATATATCATAAAATGGTCCACACTGATGGCATATAGAAAACTAATATCTTTATAGGCTGGAAATGGTTTCCTTTTATCCCCATAAGCACTTCTCCTTTTTTTATTTTTTAATTTTCTGATAAACACGATGTTTTTGCAAAATGCATTGTGAATACCGCAGTCCATAGTTTCAAAACAATTTGATAATATTCCTAATAAGTGATAGAAAAAGGCACAGAAAGTTATGACTTTGGCTGAAATGGTGGAGATCCCCATTCACCATTTCGCTCTCAGCGCCTTGAGTCCTGCCACGTCCTGATCCAGCGATGATAGTGCTTTGATGAATTTAACAATGTTCCTTTTCCTGATGAAGAATGTTTATAGTAGTATTTCTTAGAGTAAGTCCTTTGGTATGTGGACGCTGCAATGAGAAGGAGGGAAAAAGGGAAATTAATTTAAAATTATTTAACAACTAAGAGCTGGCTGCACTTCACACTACAGTTCCATTTATTATTGATTAATTAGAGGGTTAACAAATGATTAACTGATACTGTGATCACGTTACAGACAGGGGCAACATTTCTTACATGTAGTTAGACCATGGTTGCAAAAAGAATTGTTAGTGTTATTAGGAACTTGTTGATGTCAGGAGCTTTGTAAGAGTGTTGCTTACTTTAAAAGAGTCTTAGTGGTTTCTGTAAAAAGAGCAGAGGAACATTTTCCATTAGTTTTGGAGGCCCTATGTTTTTTCTTAAAGCTAGAGTGAGCAGTCATTATCTGTCATACCAGATTTACACTTCTCTTAAAATATTGTGTTTGTTACTTATTAACCCTAAATTAGTCTGTTGTCTGATCCAGCACTGGTTTGCTTTCAAAGAACTCACGATTCATGCAAGTAATTTTAGGCATATCCCATCTTCCATTTCCTTGACACCGGATGGTTGGAATATGACGCTGGATGAAACCATCTTTGCAGTGATATCTAATAAGGGAGTTGATCTCATATCGAGGTTTCATCTTCCCAAAGGTCTTTGCGTTTTCCACAACAGGAGGCTGACCACAAGCAACTGAATGGAAGAGGAGACATAACACAAAACATCAGTTTGTAAATGCACTTCTGGATATGGTACTGACCTCTAAACCCTGGCTAAGGGAGGATGTCAAGGGACCTCAGGCTCCTCAGAGACACAGTCAAATAAGGATGGGGAGAACAGTCTTTTCTGTAGTTCTCCAGTCTTGTAGACCAAATAATGTAATGATGAAAATTGGAAAACAGCAGATAGTATGGTTACCATTGTCTTTTTGGTTTAAATTTCTGATATAAATTTGAGCCAAAAAGGTTGGCATAGTCACACAAAGAAGTGATTTTCACTGAAAAACTGCAAACCCTGAAAACTGGTAAAGTTATTGCAGGCATTTAAAAGAAAGTCCTCATTTTCAATAACTTTTGTGTCTTCCTCAACAATAGACTATTTGAAAAGCACTTAGAATGGACCCATCAAGCAAAAAGCACTTAGAATGGATCCCATCCAGGCTTAGAAAGCACGTTCACAAAATGTTGGTAATTGGGAATAATGGAGAATGCTCAAGATTTTGTCTGCTTCCTTACTTTCCCATTGTGAAGAGACAAAGGCAATTCCTGAACTATTGCTCTACAGTTCCTGCTACCAACCATGTTACCTGTAACAGCTCTGACAGTGCATAAACCAATTGAGCTTCTCAGACTCCAGCTCTGCCATTAACGAAGTGGTTTGGGAAAGGAGGAAGACAAAGTGGGGCGTTACTTGGTGGGTGAAAAGTATTCACAACTGAAGCTGAAAAGCTAACCACACACCAGGGGTCAGCTGCCTGCTCTGCCTGCCTGCCTACCAATGCTCTACTGTCCAAATACTTTACAGTGATGACATTCCAGGAAAGAAGAGTTGGTAATATATTCATGGTATAGAATTAAAGCAGGCCTGCCAGGTACATGAAGGCCTCTTTAGCTGAGATCTGTACCTAAGAAGGAATTTGCCTGGTTTTAACCAAGAGTTTCAACTGTGTACACTTTTGTGATGGACTAAAGAACAGATTAGGTAGAGATGTAATGTGTGGACAGAAGACTTTGTGAGGCTTACTCAGTTGAGGCCTCACTGTACTGGTCACCAGAAATAAACTAGAATTTGTCATTTTAGCTTTATAAAACTGGGACTTAAAGAATGATATTCTTGTTATTGAAAACTTTGTACCTGTTCCTTTCTTGCAGGTATAGGTAAGATGATAATTGCATGGTACATCATTCCACTGCCCATTCTCATGCCATATTATAACAACACAGTCTTCTCCAGCAGAAAAGAAGCTGTCTGGCTGGTTTGGTCTCCAGTTCTCATATTGCTGCAGAAAAAAGGAGCAAAACTGTCATTCCGAGTGCTGGAATATATTTACATTCCATTTTACAGAAGAACACACATTACCTTTGGTGAAGAGCAATCTCAGTTGTTTAATTCAGGCTGTTAAGCGTGAACTAAGCAAAGCTAGATTTATAATCTCCTCCCATTCTGTTAACAGATTATCTCAATGGGAAAAAATATTCTCATCTAATTTCTCACTTACTGTAAACTGATGTCAGGTGAACAAAACAAAGTGATACAACTCATGATAAGCAAAATCTGATCCTAAATGTTTTGAAACACATTCTTTCCTACATAGATATGAAGTGGAATGCCAGAAATGCAGTAAATAGCACATAACCCTCGTTAGCCCACATCTACTAAAAGGTAAATTACAGGCTCTCAGACTCAGATTATTTGTTCTCTGACCTCATTTAGTGAAGTCATTCTATAGGATGACGTGCCGAATTAGGTGTAAAGTAAATAAAGGTTTCAGCATGTGCCCTCAGATCATTGCAGATAGATATTTCCATTAAAAAGACCTATGTGGCAAACTGAGTTTATACAGCAGTCTTTCAGCTTTAGAAATGATGATTCAAATTCTGCCCTCTGTAGAAAAACTAGTTCCAGACATCTATGAATACGTATAAATAAAACCAGAAACTGGTGTGTTAATTTAAAAAGTGGAAATCTGATTGTTGGTATATGACCAGAAAAAATAACAACAGTAAAAAGAACCAAAACTAATAAAATACCTTTAGCACAAAAAAAAAAAAAAAAAAGTGTATCTTAGAACTGCACCTGGGCCACACATCTGGCATATCAGTTTGGGCAGTTTGTTCATCAGGATCCAATCTGGCTACATGCAGATCTGGACTTACTTAGCTCCACAGCACTGAAGCTTTCAGCTCTGCATCTGCCTAAAGATATGCCCCTACCAAGAGCTGCGGATGTCAGCTGCTTACAGGCTGAGCACAGCTCCACACACAGGCTAAAGCCACATGTATTCCACAGTAAAGTGCACTCTTTCAAGCGTGGCTAAGCTTGTCATTGCACAGTGTCTCTTGGATGAAAATTTAGGAGGATTCAGTCTTTTTCCAATCAATAAACAGGAAAAATAAAAACAAAGGGAGAGTCACACTGACTGAAAATCTATGCAGTAGTCCTTGGTAGGGAACATATAGCCTACTGTCGTTGCAGAGGTTTCATCTCAATCCCAAATGAAGCACAGAAATTTGACATTTGCCTAACATTATGTACAGAAAAGCAACAGAAGATTTTAGAAACTACTCTTAGCAATTTTCTTTGGGATTTCTGTTGTGTCACTCCAAGAAGTATTTATTGAAGGATAAAAATAGAATCTGAAAGAACTAGAATTCACATAAATGCCAGACATTAACCAGGCAGCTAGCCCCTTTTATGGTCAAAATGACACAGTTTCTATAGTGCTTATATTTTCCTCAGTGCTTACATCTTTCTGTCTAGAGCTGGCACATATAAATGCCATAAAAGTTTAGCTTTCTATTTTCTTAACTTTATGAAATAATCCCTATTCACTGCCCGGGCAAACACATTTTAGAAATAAAGTTAACATACCCCACACAAGTAGTATTTACTTTACAATGAATCAAACTATGAAAAAACTGACTTAAATACTTAACCTTTTCCTACCAGGTGTCATCTTACCTATCACAGGTTTTTTATTATCCAAGCAATTTAACAGTCATGATCTAGATAAATTTGTCCTGCACTGACTTTATCACCTTTAATAAAACATCCCCCTTTTTATGTGGAACTAGCTTAATTCAATCTCTACAATCCAGTGCTCAATAGTCCTAAGACTACAATACATATGAACTCGTTTACTCAAGTCCAGAATTCAGCATTTCACATTAGCTTATAAATCAGAGTCTGAGTTTATCAAGCCAAATACCAAACATGTGAGTAAAATGGGATCTGTGGTGTGGGACGCTTCCTGCAACACCTAGTGCAAAAAAAGCAAAGCAAACTCTGTGCATATCTCTTGGGACAGGGAGAAGGAAAACAGGGAGGAAGGAATATGCCCATGTATTGGGTATATTAATGTAACTTTGCATGCTCCAAGACCACTTTTCCAAAAGTGTATTTTGAAGTGGCATCTGAGCCAAGGGTCTAGCACTTTTTTATAGCAGGGCTGGTTAAGGATGCAAAAAAATTGCTCCAGAGGGAAGTCCAAGTGTTGCAGAGGTGGGGTGAGCAGAAAGAAGTGATCATATCTGAGTGCCCAACCCAGTTGAAAAGATCTGCTAATCTCAGTCACGAGTGCAAGGCATGGCTGTTTACATTGTTCAGATAATGGGCAGCAACTTCTTAAGATGAGGCAATCCAATCGCCTTCAAGAATACGCCCAAACAGACACATAGAAAAATTAAAGAAAGCTAGTGGAGGAAAAGTTTAATCAATACTATCCTGAACAGCAAAAGAAAGACTTCAACAAGCCTTGCAGCTGTTTCTTGTGGAAATGATACTACAGAGCAGTTTGCTTCTACAGGGATCACAGTGTAGGAATGAAGGTTATTTAATGGCTACTGGGGGCGTGTGAGCTGAAGGTACTCAGTAGCTTGCCAGCTCCCACCCTAAGCACATAGACTCCATATGCTCTTACTTGCCTTGCCATAATGACTCCAAAATTTGTGTTTGCTTTGCTGGCAGGGCTGCGGTATAATGGCAGAGGATTATATCTAGGCCCTGTGGTTTATTCAAGAATGTCTGATATCCTCCAGTGTGACTTGCTGTTACCTCACATCTGATACCATCATCGCATAGATTTATTTTGGCTGAATAACTCTGATATTGCTTGAGTTTAGTGCCAGAATTGCTTAGCAGAGGAAGTTCCAGAGAGTTGAATTGCTTTCTTACGTCTCCACCCAGCTCCTCTGTAGTTTTTCAACTCCTTATTTAGCCACTGATAATGGGATAATGATACCAAAAAATTCTCACAGTTTGAGTGGATTAAGTTGCTAGACAAATAAACTAATATTTTGCTTTCCACTTATGGATTACATTTGCATGACCATGACCATGATCCTGGGTTTCACTTACCCTAGTGTAAATCAGGGGTGGCTGCACTATCTCCAGTAAGTCTACATCAGCAAAAAATTAATGGGAAAGAACCAAGTCCCTGAGGTCACATAGTGATTTGTAGTGTTTGTTTCCAAAGGTTTCCCTTACAATCTCTCATACCAAGTGTGCTAAGCGTAAAGGCACCCTTACCCTTGCAATAAGTGCAGTAATCATCTAAGATACTCAGGTCATAATTATTCTGTAGGATATCCTGAATAAGATGCTCTTTCTAAAGTGGCTATCTCACTTAAGATCCTCATATTTCAATACATTACTCTTAGAAAAGTGTATTTTACAAAAAGAAAGGAAAAAATAACTTAATTCCTTGGCAACATGTACCATTCGTGGTTTTTTGGGGTTTAAGATCACATCCAAAAAAGATCAGCCATATTCACAGACAAGCCAAAAACTGCTGGTGTCGTTCCAACCACCCCGCTGCTAAGTTATGTCTTTGTGTGAACTGTTATAGTCCCAGCAGACCAATGAAGCTGCACTAAGGATCACTGCGTTTGAATTGATAAAGCTTAAGACACCCTTCTGCCAACAACCAAGCTCCAGTCGATACCTTTATCTATACTCTCAGATGTATCATTCATAAGATACGTTTCTTAAAACCCAGCAGATTCAAATGCTAAGTTAATACATGGAAGAAAAGCTCCTAAGACCAGTTTAGACCTCACTGGTACACTAGGTGCTCACACAGAGGGTATTGTTACCTTCGATTTTAAAGTAACTTTACCATGACACATTTGAAGTTTTCCCCTGGATTAAAATGCAAAGCATTTCCAGACTGTTTTAGGACACATAATCCTAAGTAGTACATGACTCAAAATGTGCTTCAAAGGAGGTCTGTCCCACTACACTTTTCTCCTCCAGTTATAAGCATGCTTGCTGTGGTGTTTGTGAAGAAGGGAGTTCAAAGTAATGCAGGGCAGTGAAGGCTTAGGCAGCCACCGCTGCACCAGCCACCCTGCACAACTATCAACACCAGTTTGGTGGTTTTTGTTAAAAAAAAAGTAGGTTGAATCAGGTAAATGCAGGAACTAGCCTTGGGGACAGGATTTTGGTCTTTGTGCATTTATTTGGTCCTTTGGGAGCCACACCACTAGTCTGTCTTCTCATCATTTCAGGCTGAAAACTGGAGCTCCTGTTATGCTCTTTATGCCTTTAATTATACTGTTAGAATTAGTTATTCTTCCTTGTGCATTTTTTTATCTGTTCGTTTAAAGCAAAGCCTACCATAACACATTAGATTTACTTGCTCTAGCTTTTTGTGCTAAACAGCACTGAAAATTTTCCTGCAGAAGGAGAGTGGATGGTCCATGGGTTGGAGCTGCAGCTGGGATGGGGTTCAGATCTTCAGGCTTCCTACATGGCACTGGACAATGTGCTTGGCTGGCTGATTCCCAGCCTGTAAATCAGTGACAACATATTCTTTTGCTTCACTGAAGGAGCTTGGGTATGATGGTTACAAAAGCCCATGAAGACATTTTATGAAGTTTCACATTTTTGGGAAGGATTTCCTTATATGGCATTGAATTAACTCACAGCCATAATCTGCCAGTTGAGTGACAGGCTGACATTACACATAAATTAAATCTAAGAAAGGCAGGGTTATAGCAAGAGCTTTAAAGCAGCCAACTTTATTGGCTATTCCCTATCTTTTCTCATTCAGATGGCTGCCAGTCTAACTGAATGAGCGTGGCCGTCCCATCATGAACAAGATCCTACCTTGTGGGAGATTAGTTGTTTCAATTTAAGATAAGCAGCCTTATTTGAGGGACTCACTTCCTTATTAATGAGCAACCCACTCAGCTCTTTCAGATGTTTGCAGCACCAGGGTGAATCTGTGAGTAAGCAGTGTCTCGGCTTTCCAACTCATTTGGAAATTTCAGCCATTCC